GTTACAAATAGACTAAACTAATCAAACACAGACATTATGGCAGAGTAACTCAGCGTCCCACACTTTCCACTCTTGTGGATAAAAATATCATCAAATACCGGTTTGAAATGTCGGTCATTTCTAATCATCGGTCCAGTGCTGATCATTTTAGAGCACATATCTGTAAATACTGATATGATTCTGATCATCATGCATCTCTACTTAAACACCGATGAGCTCCAGCTGCTCCTCTCACTGAAATCTGCTCCCCAACAAGTCCCTGACTCCCTGTTCCACTTCAGACTTTCACACGAACAACTAACGTTCTTTCATTCATCACTAACTCTCACATAAACCACCACCCAAACTCAGCTCACTGTCTCTCTCATCTGCAGCTGAAGTCGGCCTGTTCGTCTGTAGGGCTGCAGCAGCGACTGGTTTCATGGTATATCATGGTATGAATATTGATGGTTATCATATCGTGTACATTTGTTTATTATCAGTATTTTAAAATGTAACCGATGTAAACTCCCCCCTGCTGTACCGGTCAGTAACAGACGTACTGTGTGTTTTAAACGTGCTGCAGTGATGAGTGGAGGAGGGCAGCTCTGCTGTGCAGTAGAGAGAGAGAACGTTTGTGCTGTAACACGATAAAGACCACCGGACCGCACTCTGCCCATCATCCCTCTTTAAGTTCTACTAACGTCACTGAGGGGGTTCTGGACTGGGTTCAGTTCATGTTTGAAAGCACAGGTGAGGCAGTGACCTGACTCTACATGATCAGGTAGCTGATGAACTGACGAGCTGGAGCTCTGTCAGCGTGTGATGGAGTCACTGATCAGCATCGACTCCACGTCCTTCCTGTCTCATCTGCTCACTGCTCATCAGTAACGCTCTCCGCCGTCTGGGCTGGAGTGGAAGAGTGAACACCACACTCTTAAAAACAAGGTTCTTCAAGGGTTCTTTAGTAAAGAATTGATTCTATATAGAACCATGAACACTCAAAGAACCCTTTGCATGATTAAAGGGTTCTTTGCATCAAGAAAAAGTTCTTAAGATGGAAAGTGTGCATGAATGTCCTATAGATGGTTCAATATAGAACCCTTTTTGAAAAGGGTTCTATATTGCACCAAAACGGGTTCTTCTATTATTACAAGCTTGACCTTTTGGGTGCTATATAGAACCTCTTCAAAATAGTTCTATATAGAAATATCTACAGCACATTCTCCATCAGTCTGAAGATATTTTTAATCATCACCATTTTCTGTACTAAAGAACCCTTGAAGAACCGTCTCTTTCGAGAGTGCAGGTTGACTCCGGTACGCTGTGTTTGTGATATTCTCTTCCTTATTGACGTCGTTAATTAAACGAGCTATGAAATAATTCTCCTCATCCGGCTCCCGGCTACACCTGCCCGTCTGTCCATTCGGTCACCTCTGACTAACACACGCTGACCCTGATCTGACCTCACAAAGGAACACACACACTGTCTCAGCTCAGAAGGCTGACAGGAGTGAGTGTGTAGGAGTTAAAGGTACAGAGGGGATCAGTCTGGCCCTCCTACAGTAAACTGACCTCTGTGTTGGTCATCATTTAGAGCATTAGTGATGGTGTTTCTCACTATTTTATAAAAACCAAACAATCAAACAGTTAATAAAGAAAATACTCAGCAGATTAATCCACAATCAAAGTGATCATTAGATGAATACAAAAAAAATAGCTGAAAAGAGCTCCACCTCCACTACAGCATGTCTCCTCTGCTCCACTGGCAACGTGCTTTACACCCCCCACCCCCGGACCCTTGATCTTAGGCTTGTGTGCAGCTGCTCAGGAGTGGAAACCCATTTAGTGAAGCTCAACACTCAGTTCTTGTGCTGATGTTGCTTCCAGAGGCAGTTTGGAGCTCTTTAGTGATTCAGCAGAGGACAGACACTGGGGGGTCCCACTCTGTGAGTTTGAGTGGTCTCCCGCTTCTTGGCTGAGCTGTTGTTGCTCCTAGAAGCTCCCATTTAAAATAAAAGTCTAAATAAAATAACTTGTCGTGATTTTATGTTTGAAAAGTTTAAAATGAAATCCAAGTTGCAAAATAAGGTCATTTTAAAAGCTCAACTCACTGAAATGAAAAACTTCGCCCAGAAGTTCTGACTTCCTCAAATGTCAGCACAGGAAAAACAGAGGACTTTTATTTTGACATTTTTATGAAAGAGGGGCCAGGTTATTGCATCATTAAGAAGAGCCCAATAGACTTTCATGGTGCAACGCCAGGGTCAGCGTCCCTTTTACAGATTCAGTAAAAGTGTCCTGCCTGAGTCGCGGTCAGAACGGTTGAGTTGACCATGTCAGGTGGTCTGACCTCAGGAGGACCAGGAAAAGGTGGAGTTATTACAGTTTTATTTATCTGTGTGAATAAATGTAAATATAAACTCAGACTGAAGACCAAAGGTTTCTACAGTCTGATTATATTCCTGTTTAATCTGAAATGAGTCTGAAACGCCAGACGGAGCAGCCAGACCAGCACAGCTCAATACCTGATACAGGCAGTTAAAGCTCTGATACTCACTATGAGACACAAAACACACAGAGATAGAAATGAGATCCAAAAACACACAGAGATAGAAATGAGATCCAAAAACACACAGAGATAGAAATGAGATCCAAAAACACACAGAGATAGAAATGAGATCCAAAAACACACAGAGATATAAATGAGATCCAAAAACACACAGAGATAGAAATGAGATCCAAAAACACACAGAGAGATAAATGAGATCCAAAAACACACAGAGAGATAAATGAGATCCAAAAACACACATCACATCCTGTTAATGAGACTCTTTAAATGTCATTTTGAAAACTTCAGAAAAAATATCTATCAGATCCAACAACTAAACACCGTTCAGTCCAGCAGAGACAGACAGAACACAGTTTTACCAGAATCAGATATTTAAACAGTGAAATTATAGAAACATCAGGACCAGACAGGTCAGACTGAACTAGTACTGGACCTGGTACTCAGTATCAGCCCAGACTCAATAATCCAGTATCGGTATCAGAAGAGGAGAAGTCGTATCAGCACCTCCCTCATTACTGAACACAACTGAGAAACCTGGCCACTTTAAACAGCTGGGCTAATCGGCCGTCTAAGGTCAGCTGACCAAACCAGGTGTGTCCAGTTCTTAGAGCCACTGATGGTCATTACTTTAGGAATGTGTGTAACGTGTTAAACAGAGCAGCACAAACTATTCTCATTATCATATTCGGTACCATGAAATCTGACTCTCTTCACTTCCACTGCGCATCTTCTCACAAACCCAGTCTCTAAAAATGTGCACTGAGTCGCCCCCTACTGGAAACTAGACACAGGAAAAAGGGTGGTCTCTGACTTTTCCTCAGTACTGTATAGGGGTGCGGGAAAAAATTGATTCTTAGATGCATCGCAATGCGGACGTGAATGATTCTGAATCGATTCATAAATGTCAAAAATCGATTTTCTAAATATTTCATTTATAACGTAATGTTGACGGAACACAAAGGGCGGAAGTGCAGCGCCCGGACAGTCTGCGGCGGCATATAACAAAAACACCACTGGACGAGCGAGAAATCAGGAGTCAGGAGTCACAACACAAATGATAAGAGACATTTTGACCTTTCAACAAAGTCAAACCACCTTGGGAGCCACAACATTTAATGTCCAGTATGTGTCAGTGTGTGCTGATGTCCTAGTAGAGGCTAAACAATATAAACACGAACGCAGATTTACTTCGCTCTGCTTTAAGCTTTAGCTACAGCCGCTTTCCTCCCATCTCCGGCAGAAACCTTTTCGACTGTTTTCCGAGGCTGAAGTCGCTTCTTATTCTCCAGCTTCTTATTCAAATTTACCCGTTCCACCTTAAATTCTAACTGAGGCGCCGAATGAAAATGTGGCACCATTTAAGGTGGAACGGAAGAATTCGAAAGAGAAGCGACTTCAGCTTCGCCACTTTTTAGTGTTTGACTGTCTCTCGTTGCAGATTTAACGCACCAGGAAACCAACTGCGCTGCTTATAAATGCGAATAGCGCATCGCTGCTGTGTGACCTGTAGTCTGCACGGCGGTTCTCAGTCGTTGTGAAACAGGGCTTTCGCGCTATGCTGCACACGACCCGTCTCAAAGATACTTTACTGACACAGCGACCCCCCCGTCTCTACAATGAGACCAAAACCGAAGTTATAAAATCACTACAGAAAACGGGGAGGACGGCTGTAACATGTGCTGCGTGGTCATCCACTGACACTGGATCTTATTTCACCGTAACTGCGCATTTTATCGCAGATGAGTGGCAGCAGCTTCTCGTGCTCCAAATGAGAGCACTGAATGAGAGCCTTCCAGTTCACCTGCCACATCACTTCCATTTGATTTATTAATAAAAGATATTGGAAGTAAATTCATTATGGATCATTACAGATACTTTGCTTTAAAAGTACCAAGTCACTTTAAATAACAACACTGAGTCACTTAGTCACTTTAAAATGTATATTGTCTCTATATTCTATGTATATTTTGTGTATATTTAATATATTTCAGTTGGTTTTTCTTGTATTTTTATTTTTACTTATTTACTTTCTGTAGAGTGATTAGCTGAGCCTCACCACAAGCATTTCAATGCTTAAATGTCCTGACATGTTGTGCAAATGACAAATAAACTTGAAACTTGGGCTCACACAGTGAGAAAATAGAAATGCTATATAGAAAAAAAAGATGCATCGAGATGCATCAATAATTGTTTTATAATCGCATCGCAGCCCTCTGAATTGTAATTCAGAGGGCTGAGGTGCCTAGAGGCATGAGGTGCCTAAGATTCCCACCCCTAATACTGTATATTAATTGACTCTACATGCTCTTTCTCCTTTGGACGTGTTTTAAATGCTGCCTTAACAGGTGGTTATTTAAAAAAAAAAACTGAGTTTGTATTTGTAAATTAAATATTTTAATATTTAATTTAATAAAATAAATTAATAAATAAATAAGCCTAAATTAATGAATTAAATATAAACAATTTTAAAATCGCTCCTTCTTGGAGAGTTCAGAGAGTTCTTGTGCTGATTCAGAGTGTTTTCCGCTGTGTGGAGTAACTCACCATAGAAGACACTAGGTTTGATCTCTTCCTCCATCCTGTGTTTTCCCAGTGTGGCTCTGCAGTAGAACGTGTCAATGTTGTTCTTATGTACAGTGAAGCGTCGTTTCACATTGAACAGCTCAGCGTGTCTCTGTGACTCTGGAACTCCTGCAGTCTGAATGTCTCCTTTACTGTTCAGCAACTGAAGATCAGGCTGAGGCCTCCAGCCTTTAGACTCACACAGTAAACTGAACTCCTCTGAGTTCCTATCATAGCTCTCCAAGGTGATCACTGGACGCTCTCCAATAACTGTGGATTAAAGGAAAAAAATACGAGTGAGTGTGACATCACTTCCTTTCACACGAACATTTACTACAATAATAAACTTTATTTTAAATATAATGTAAACATAACGACTTTTACCTTCAACTTTCAGATCAAAAGAGGCCTCATCATCAAAGTAGTCAGAGTCAACACGACATCTGTACTTTCCTTCATCACGAAGATTAACTTCACTCAGTCTCAGTGAGGCGTCGCCGTTCTGTAGCTCCTCTTTAAACAGAGCTGTTCTCCCTCTGTAATGAGGAATCTGCCCGGCGTTCATGTCTTTATGATCTCCATAGAAATGAACTACAGCGCCTCCCAGGTCTGATCCGGTCCACGTAATGTTCAAATCCACAGCACTCAGACTGGACTGATCAGCCGAGCGTCGAACAGAACATGGCAGAACAACGTCAGAGCCAGCTGCAGCGACAACAGGAGCAACTGGAACCACAACCTTAAACCTCTCTGTAAAAGAGAAACAGAACATTTAATAAACGACAGATAATCTACTCAATAACACACCACAGATAATCTACTCAATCACACACACCACAGATAATCTACTCAATAACACACACCACAGATAATCTACTCAATCACACACACCACAGATAATCTACTCAATAACACACACCACAGATAATCTACTCAATCACACACACCACAGATAATCTACTCAATAACACACCACAGATAATCTACTCAATCACACACACCACAGATAATCTACTCAATAACACACACCACAGATAATCTACTTAATCACACACCACAGATAATCTACTCAATCACACACACCACAGATAATCTACTCAATAACACACACCACAGATAATCTACTCAATCACACACACCACAGATAATCTACTCAATAACACACACAACACAGATAATCTACTCAATCACACACACCACAGATAATCTACTCAATAACACACACCACAGATAATCTACTCAATAACACACACCACAGATAATCTACTCAATAACACACCACAGATAATCTACTCAATAACACACACACCACAGATAATCTACTCAATAACACACCACAGATAATCTACTCAATCACACACACCACAGATAATCTACTCAATAACACACACCACAGATAATCTACTCAATCACACACACCACAGATAATCTACTCAATAACACACACCACAGATAATCTACTCAATAACACACACCACAGATAATCTACTCAATAACACACCACAGATAATCTACTCAATAACACACACACCACAGATAATCTACTCAATAACACACCACAGATAATCTACTCAATCACACACACCACAGATAATCTACTCAATAACACACACCACAGATAATCTACTCTATAACACACACCACAGATAATCTACTCAATAACACACACCACAGATAATCTACTCAATCACACACACCACAGATAATCTACTCAATCACACACACACCACAGATAATCTACTCAATCACACACACACCACAGATAATCTACTCAATAACACACACCACAGATAATCTACTCAATAACACACACCACAGATAATCTACTCAATCACACACACCACAGATAATCTACTCAGTCACACACACACCACAGATAATCTACTCAATCACACACACCACAGATAATCTACTCAATAACACACACCACAGATAATCTACTCAATCACACACACCACAGATAATCTACTCAATCACACACCACAGATAATCTACTCAGTCACACACACCACAGATAATCTACTTAATCACACACACACCACAGATAATCTACTCAATAACACACACCACAGATAATCTACTCAATCACACACACGTCAGATAATCTACTCAATCACACACACCACAGATAATCTACTCAATCACACACACCACAGATAATCTACTCAATCACACACACCACAGATAATCTACTCAATCACACAAACACACCACAGATAATCTACTCAATCACACAAACACACCACAGATAATCTACTCAATCACACAAACACACCACAGATAATCTACTCAATCACACACACCACAGATAATCTACTCAATCACACACACGTCAGATAATCTACTCAATCACACACACCACAGATAATCTACTCAATCACACACACCACAGATAATCTACTCAATAACACACAAACACACCACAGATAATCTACTCAATCACACAAACACACCACAGATAATCTACTCAATCACACACACCACAGATAATCTACTCAATCACACAAACACACCACAGATAATCTACTCAATAACACACACCACAGATAATCTACCCAATAACACACACCACAGATAATCTACTCAAAAACACACACCACAGATAATCTACTCAATCACACACACCACAGATAATCTACTCAATAACACACACCACAGATAATCTACTCAATAACACACCACAGATAATCTACTCAATAACACACACACCACAGATAATCTACTCAATAACACACCACAGATAATCTACTCAATCACACACACCACAGATAATCTACTCAATAACACACACCACAGATAATCTACTCAATAACACACCACAGATAATCTACTCAATAACACACACCACAGATAATCTACTCAATCACACACACCACAGATAATCTACTCAATAACACACACCACAGATAATCTACTCAATCACACACACACCACAGATAATCTACTCAATAACACACACCACAGATAATCTACTCAATAACACACCACAGATAATCTACTCAATCACACACACACACCACAGATAATCTACTCAATCACACAAACACACCACAGATAATCTACTGAATCACACAAACACACCACAGATAATCTACTCAATCACACAAACACACCACAGATAATCTACTCAATCACACACACCACAGATAATCTACTCAATCACACACACCACAGATAATCTACTCAATAACACACACCACAGATAATCTACTCAATCACACACACCACAGATAATCTACTCAATCACACACACCACAGATAATCTACTTAATAACACACACCACAGATAATCTACTCAATCACACAAACACACCACAGATAATCTACTCAATCACACACACCACAGATAATCTACTCAATCACACACACCACAGATAATCTACTCAATCACACACACCACAGATAATCTACTCAATCACACACACACCACAGATAATCTACTCAATCACACACACACCACAGATAATCTACTCAATAACACACACCACAGATAATCTACTCAATAACACACACCACAGATAATCTACTCAATCACACACACCACAGATAATCTACTCAATAACACACACCACAGATAATCTACTCAATCACACACACCACAGATAATCTACTCAATCACACACCACAGATAATCTACTCAATCACACACACCACAGATAATCTACTCAATCACACACCACAGATAATCTACTCAGTCACACACACCACAGATAATCTACTTAATCACACACACACCACAGATAATCTACTCAATAACACACACCACAGATAATCTACTCAATCACACACACCACAGATAATCTACTCAATCACACACACGTCAGATAATCTACTCAATCACACACACCACAGATAATCTACTCAATCACACACACCACAGATAATCTACTCAATCACACACACCACAGATAATCACACAAACACACCACAGATAATCTACTCAATCACACAAACACACCACAGATAATCTACTCAATCACACACACCACAGATAATCTACTCAATCACACACACGTCAGATAATCTACTCAATCACACACACCACAGATAATCTACTCAATCACACACACCACAGATAATCTACTCAATAACACACAAACACACCACAGATAATCTACTCAATCACACAAACACACCACAGATAATCTACTCAATCACACACACCACAGATAATCTACTCAATCACACAAACACACCACAGATAATCTACTCAATAACACACACCACAGATAATCTACCCAATAACACACACCACAGATAATCTACTCAAAAACACACACCACAGATAATCTACTCAATCACACACACCACAGATAATCTACTCAATAACACACACAACACAGATAATCTACTCAATCACACACACCACAGATAATCTACTCAATCACACACACCACAGATAATCTACTCAATCACACACACGTCAGATAATCTACTCAATAACACACACCACAGATAATCTACTCAATCACACACACCACAGATAATCTACTCAATCACAGACACCACAGATAATCTACTCAATCACACACACAAACCACAGATAATCTACTCAATAACACACCACAGATAATCTACTCAATAACACACACCACAGATAATCTACTCAGTCACACACACACCACAGATAATCTACTCAATAACACACCACAGATAATCTACTCAGTCACACACACACCACAGATAATCTACTCAATCACACACACACCACAGATAATCTACTCAATAACACACACCACAGATAATCTACTCAATCACACACACCACAGATAATCAACTCAATCACACACACGTCAGATAATCTACTCAATAACACACACACCACAGATAATCTACTCAATAACACACACCACAGATAATCTACTCAATCACACACACCACAGATAATCTACTCAATCACACACCACAGATAATCTACTCAATCACACACACCACAGATAATCTACTCAATCACACACACCACAGATAATCTACTCAATCACACACACCAAAGATAATCTACTCAATAACACACACCACAGATAATCTACTCAATCACACACACCACAGATAATCTACTCAATCACACACACCACAGATAATCTACTCAATCACACACACCACAGATAATCTACTCAATAACACACACCACAGATAATCTACTCAATCACACACCACAGATAATCTACTCAATCACACACACCACAGATAATCTACTCAATAACACACACAACACAGATAATCTACTCAATCACACACACACCACAGATAATCTACTCAATCACACACACACCACAGATAATCTACTCAATAACACACACCACAGATAATCTACTCAATCACACACACACCACAGATAATCTACTCAATCACACACACACCACAGATAATCTACTCAATAACACACACCACAGATAATCTACTCAATAACACACACCACAGATAATCTACTCAATCACACACACCACAGATAATCTACTCAATAACACACACACCACAGATAATCTACTCAATCACACACACCACAGATAATCTACTGAATCACACACACACCACAGATAATCTACTCAATAACACACACCACAGATAATCTACTCAATCACACACACCACAGATAATCTACTCAATAACACACACACCACAGATAATCTACTCAATCACACACACCACAGATAATCTACTGAATCACACACACACCACAGATAATCTACTCAATCACACACACCACAGATAATCTACTCAATAACACACACACCACAGATAATCTACTCAATAACACACCACAGATAATCTACTCAATCACACACACACCACAGATAATCTACTCAATAACACACACCACAGATAATCTACTCAATAACACACACCACAGATAATCTACTCAATAACACACCACAGATAATCTACTCAATAACACACACCACAGATAATCTACTCAATAACACACACCACAGATAATCTACTCAATCACACACACCACAGATAATCTACTCAATCACACACACCACAGATAATCTACTCAATAACACACACCACAGATAATCTACTCAATAACACACACCACAGATAATCTACCCAATCACACACACCACAGATAATCTACTCTATAACACACACCACAGATAATCTACCCAATCACACACACCACAGATAATCTACTCAATAACACACACCACAGATAATCTACTCAATCACACACACACCACAGATAATCTACTCTATAACACACACCACAGATAATCTACTCAATAACACACACACCACAGATAATCTACTCAATCACACACACCACAGATAATCTACTCAATAACACACCACAGATAATCTACTCAATCACACACGTCAGATAATCTACTCAATCACACACACCACAGATAATCTACTCTATAACACACACCACAGATAATCTACTCAATAACACACACACCACAGATAATCTACTCAATCACACACACCACAGATAATCTACTCAATAACACACACCACAGATAATCTACTCAATCACACACGTCAGATAATCTACTCAATCACACACACCACAGATAATCTACTCAATCACACACACCACAGATAATCTACTCAATCACACACACCACAGATAATCTACTCAATAACACACACACCACAGATAATCTACTCAATAACACACACCACAGATAATCTACTCAATCACACACATGTCAGATAATCTACTCAATCACACACACCAGAGATAATCTACTCAATAACACACACCACAGATAATCTACTCAAATCTCCTAAAAGACCATTGATTGCTTAAAAGTTGTGTGATTTGTGTTCCTTTAACTCACATCTGTGTTCGTCCCCTGACACCTTTAATAAACATCCTCAATCCAGCAGAGGAGACATTCAGACCTAACTAGAGTGATTCAGTTTCAGAAGTGATTCAGCCTGTTTGGTATTCCTCTAATAGTAGAGTTACTGTACCTTCAGAAGCGGAGGAACAGTGGAGGAACATCATCATCACCCAGACACACTTCATTTCTGAAACACAAGAACAACATTTCAGTTCACTGAGCACAGCTGATCACACTCACACTGAAACTCAGTCAGTGCTGAATTTAACACACTTTAATACACTTACATCAACATTTTGAATGATTTTAGCCATTTCAGAGTTTAGTATCTAATAATATCTTCACTGAGCAGCTGAATAAGAGCTGCTGAAACCAGCAGGAACCACACAGACAGCTCAGAGACTAAAACATCACCTGACAGAATAAATGTTTAACATGCTATTAATTTTTTTACAAGACTTAAAACAAGGAAACCTTCTGTGCCTGAAATGTGTCGGGGGTTAGGAGACAAAATGGAGGGCAGGGGAGTTCATGAAATGAAGAGATTCATAATTGAATATGAACATGTTTATGAACAAAACTGAAACAAACAAACAATAACAAATAATACAATAACAAGCTGCGCAAAAGGAACAATGTATGGTAACTGTATCCAAGTCCAAGTCCAACTTTCAAAACCATAAAGACTCCAATATGCCTGTCCTTCCCACTGGTCATCACTCGTTCCTTCGCTGGTCTCTAAACAGCAGCCAACATGATGATGATGAAAATACATACACAGCCATATTCTTGCTATGTGACAGTGAAAAAATTTGCAGGACTTTTTCCATAGATATATAGCTTTAACTAAGTGATAAGCCCAGAGAGTTCGTGCATAACTGTGATTTTACCACAGGAAGGGGGTTCACGACGCAAAACAGAGCAGAAGAATGTTCGGTTGCCCATTATTGTGCACTGTGATCATTTCATTGTTCAAACCTTCACTTTATAAGTGCTTCTTGGTACCAAATCACCACCGCAGGTCCTATTTAGCATTTTTTCCCACAATGGGGCTAGATCTCAAACGGCTCCCTGCACCCTATGTAGGAATTTAAATACTGGATGCTGCAGCCAAACAGCGCAAAATATAGCTATCAAACAGTCATGTGGGACTCAGACACATCCATACTCAACAAATACTGCACTGTTTAGAAGCTCCACTTTCAAAACTCCCACAGCAGATCTGAGTGAAACACAGACATGCTGAAGCATGTGAGCCATTAAAGAGACATTTTTAGACGTTTATACTGCAGATTTACAGTGAATCACATCATAAGTACTTTAATTCAAGCCTGTGATATCAGTGATGGAGCTGTTCAGCCTGTTTGCTCTCAGCACAAGGATCTTTTGTGGCGCACTAATATAGAGTTCAGCTGTTTTGAGAAAATATTTTAAAATATACAGGTAACAGATGAAGTATTCAGATTACAGGTATTCAGTTTTAATCAGTTCATAAAACGTGTTCACAATCTTCTGTTTCATTAAATGCAGAAAAATACAATTTGAGCTGCATCTGTGTTTCCATGGCAGCACGTTTATTGATTCTTAACCGGTTCTGAACTTATCAGGGCTTTAATAACCAATCAGCATAACCAATAACCAATAACAAAATAAAAACTGTGGGCAGTGGATCCCGGTATCTGTTAGTGGGCCTGATGAGTTTGCACTTCACAGTTACATCACATGACTGAAAGACGGAAATACAGATTAACAAAGACTGCAGTACAGAACTGTGCATGACCGACTGACCCGGCCAAAACGCGGCTAAGTGATATTTTATATCTGAATTTTTCCAACTCATTTGTCTCATTTGTGCATCTCTTACACTCAAACTTTCATCTAAGATCATCAGATGCTGCTGGAATTCGCCAAACATTGAAGCTACTCACGCTATCAGTATTAGCTGAGACCACCTGACTGCATGTGATTTACCCCTTTAACTCATTAACTCATTACAATCTGACGCTCCTTCAACAACAAACACACTGACCTCAGACTGCTCACTACACAGATGGTGTGGAATCAGCGTGCTTAGCGCTGCATGTTCACGGCATTATCTAAGCTTATTTGCAGCATAACAGTTTAATCATAATGACAAAACTCATAACTTCAGATGAATTTTAACCAGTTTTTATAAAGAAGGAATGAAAGGAATAATTATTTTATTTTACAACTGTTGAAAAAAAAAATCCAGACTATCATCTGCAGTTTTACATTTACCAACTAACTGATTAATTAATGGACCAACTAACCAATTATAACAAGTTGTGCCCCACTTGTTATCGTCCTGTTAAAGCAACAGTGTTCAGTGTATGAGGCTGTGTACACATTAGTTAGCTGTTACTACCTTAAACATGACTTTAGTTTCTGTTTGAAACTCAGTCGTGTTAAATAAGGACTTCAACTTTACACACAAACTGAGTACACACATATGCTAAACTGGTACCCAGTCCAGCGGCCCATTTCAATACTTTAACATGTCCTCACCCACTCAGACTGACCACTCAGATGTACATCGTAATTATATAAGTTTATACTAACTGCACTATAGAATACTGTGTTTGGAGAGTCATTTAACAAATGGGTTACTGCATTATACAACTCACCAACAGCCTCAATCACAGGTAATGGATTAACATCACGCTTCACACTACAGAGAGGAATCAGAATCAAAACAGTAAGATTAAAGGAATATAAGTCGACAACAGCCAGTATAAAATGAGTCTATATGCACACAGTAGACTTCTGTATCTGTAAAATCCCCCAGAGTCCTTATAAATAACTACTAAACTGATCAACTTTTTCTCAAAGATCTCTAATTATTCTGTCAGCTGATCCACACTTTCACCACCACATTCACACAACTGGAACTCTGCAGCAAAAACAATAACCAACCCTCTCTGTTCTGACAAAATCACACAGTCTGGCATAAATCTTATACATATGTAAACCATAATCCTCTCCTCAAATCAGTACAGGATGGTCTAAATCCACTGATGAACACATCACTCTCACAGTCCGATCAGAAATCAAATCAAAATAACTGCACTACCAAAAATAAACTACCTTTTTATTACACACTGTTGTGAGGCTGAACAGCAGAAAAGCAATTAAACATCTGAATTACAAAAAAAAACATACTTTATCTCAACTCATATTCCAATCCAATTATTCCATCTACCTGGTTCAACTCCCTTCACACCTTTAGATCCAATTTATACTGAAAAAAAAAAGAATTCAGCTGTTCACATTACAAAAAAAACTAAACTGCGAGGTGGTTTAAATCCCTTAATTTTTACAGTTATTTTTGTGCCACACGACTGCAATTTAATTAAAAATGGAAACCCCTTAATGATCAATGTAACTCCTGGATTGAAACCAATCAAAGTGTAAAGAAATATAAATTTCTGATCTATTATTGATCAGACCCTCTGTAAGATATCACACCTACTTTAATCACCAACAACAGCCATCAAAATCACCAACTCAACAGCACAGATATGGAAACAACCACTCCACTTTGGAACAGGCCAGACTGTCTGCACAATAACAGATATACCTGAATGGACAAACAAAAGCATCTCTGACACACAAGACATTAAACAAACCTCAGTCCAGAGAATCAGTCCAGAAGTACAGAACTGGTACTTCTGAAACTTTTCTTCAGTACCTACAACTAAAATCTGCCATCTGCCATCATCCACACTGTACATTTAAAATATTAATACATTTAATAATTTAATATATTAATACATTTAGTAACATGATTCAGAACCACCTCACAGCAGAAGAAATGTTTAAAGGTATCATTTTAAAATCCCCTCACAAACTTTTCTAAACAATTAAACTACACTGGCTTAACATCACAACTTCCAGATGCACAATGGGAGACAGATCTGAGCATCACACCCAGCGCCAACTGTACCAAAGTTCAACACCTCTAATTATAACATCCTCAAATAAACACGTTTACCAGCTTTATATTTATGTGTCCTTAAGCTGCTGCATGTACTTTACTGTATATGTACAAATACTGAACTCCTGATTATTAGAATAATAAAGTAGTCTCACAGAGACTGGGGGGATGTGGGGATGTGGGTTTTATAAAAATTAAAGAGTAAAAAAAACTTTGTCAGGTTATAAACGTGGTGCAGAGCCGTGGCGTAATGACTTTTTTGGCTATTGTTAGCTGTGTAGCTAGGGCTGGGCAATAAAACGATAATGATAATTATCGCAATATAACTTTCCTCAATATAACAATAAGAAATGTTCGATAAATTTCAATATAATACACCATTCTCACACATCCACGTTCAGCGACAGCCCTGGTGGCGTTTTCTACTGTAAAGAAAGCGACACTACTCTGCTGTCACCAGGAGAGGGTGCACTTCCGAGTTTTTCAACATGATTAGAGAGGGAGGGGCGACGAGTAAAACTGAGTCACCAAATATACTTGAGCAGCGTCTGAAACGTGGAGTTATACATTCCCTGTTTGAGTGGAGCGACGGTGATCTGTCCTTCTGTGACCGAGTGTGAGTGACGAGGTCAGTGGTGTAACTGTTCTGTCCTACAGTGAACTCACCTCTTTCCTAACGTCCTAACAGCTTTAGCAGCGTTAAATCACGTCTGCTCCTCACAGCTACAGCACTGTTACAGCACTCAGTCATATTTCAGTATTAGTGCTTTCCCAAGCAACGAAAGTGAAAGAAAGAAGTGGTTCATGCAGTTACAGCCCTGATTTAAACTAAAGTAAACTGAGGAAGCTGTGAGGCATTGGGAGAATGGGAGAGTGTTATCTTTCCAGGCTAGCTGTTTTTAGCAGCTGGCTAACCTGAAGCAGCTCTGTCACTCTCACAGCACGGAGAATTGATGTTACTGTAGATCAGACAAGACACAGAAGCACCGCTTTCAGTTTAAACGCACCTAAAAGGAGGACTCAGTTTGTCTGGTGTTGCGGTTCACCCCTCAATTTACTACGATAGAGTAGAGAAGCCCAGTCGTCTGCTAGCTGTGTCTGAACACTGTGATATGCTCTGATGTGGATGTGGTGGGAGTGACGGCAGTAAGGTGGTGTGATCAGCACTGACGTACTGAGTCAGCTAATGTTTGCTGTTTGTACTAAGTTGACGTTGTTGAGAAACTAAGCAGTTTAGCTCTGTTGATGCCACTTGTTTATCATTTGTAACGGGATAGCCGAGCGCTCGTCACCAGACAGATAAAATAATCTGTTTTCTTTCTTAAATTATGACTATTACAAAAACTACAGCTGTGCTTTTCCAGCTGGTAAAAACAGCTCACCAGTAACTCTCTCCCACTCTCCCATTACAGATCTGTGAAATGTTCCACTGTCTGGTGAGTGTTTGTCGTGTTCTGACCATAAAGGATAGTTTAAAACAGTGATTAACCACCTAGGAGCAAAAATCAGCCTTCAAACTTAAAATAAATAATGACATTTATGGCGATATGTATCGATATTGAACGATATGAATTTTGTTTATCGTGATAACATTTTTGGCCATATCGCCCAGCTCTATGTGTATCCTTTAGCGCAGAGTAAGACTGTGCAGCAGTCGTATATCAGCAATCAGTTGTTATGTTTTATTTTAATATTAAGCATCTTACAGTAGTTTATGGTTTGTAAACAGCTGCGTCTGACAGTATTTTCAGTTTTATAAAGGGAAATGAGGTCACAGTGATTCCTGGACAAGTTCTGCTGCTGAAGTCAAGACGATGTTGACTTCGCCCTCCAAACGAGAACCTTTATCATATGTATAATGTATTGATCCACTAATCAGTTATCATTACCATTACCATTTTCACAACACATACAAACACAAACTGATCTGATCCAGTTTAGCTTTGTCTGTGTCACGTGATGATGGGGGGATCTGGGAGTTTGAGTTCTTTTTCATAGCTGAAACTGTGTGTTATACTCTCTCTCTCTCTCTCTCTCTCTCTCTCTCCTCTTCTCTCTCTCTCTCTCTCTCCCTCTCTCTCTCTCTCTCTCTCTCTCTCTCTCTCTCTGTGTCTCTCTCTCTCTCTCTCTCTCTCTCTCTCTCTGCCTTATCGTCTATTTTGCACTCCATCCCGTCAAAAACAACACACAAAGATAATCAGCACCACCACTGCACCACACAGGTGAACTCACACAAACTGGGGCAGAGAAGTCAGTATTTGCCTCTACAGTCTGTTTATGCTGACTTTACTCTGCTTCACTGAACAGAATTGTGGGGTTTAAACATTAATACAGTGTTTTTTATTTGTGTGTGTAAAACAGACCATAGAGAGAATGTTATTAGATATATTAGACATATTATTAGTTTTAAATTATGACGCAGGTTTATTGGACACTGTCCACACACAGATCTGTCTGTGGGGGCTGTTAAACACACAGTGTGACCCCCACACTCATCACTGCATGTCAGACAGAGTGTGTACTTACAGAGTGAGTGTATAAATTATACACATACAGTGAATAACCAAAGATCAGGATTTCTAAAACTGCAGTTTATGTCTGGCTTTATCTGTTAGGATTGTATAAGGCCCACAGTTTGTCCAGCTTAAGGTGGAGTCTGTGTTCCTTCATTTCACATCCCACCCAGAATGAGATACAAGTCAACAACAGCGCAGACAGGACTCCACTAACCAATCACAGCGCAGGATGTGGGCTATGCCGGAATACGGGTGGAAAAAATAACGTTGTCCTGTGTGACCGCACCCAGACAGGCAACTTTCCCGGAACCATAAAGTGAACCCGTTCTAAGCGAAACCGCTCCTCTTCTCCGTCCCGGTTCTGAGTCTCTCAGCCCGGTACCACAGAGATGCAGGACTAAATGAACTCAGAGTCTCAGACTCAGCGGGCGGGGGTTCGGCTCGCGGTGCTGCTGCTGAGCTCGGACCGGTCCAGTTATTACAGTTAGAGTCGTATCGTTACTCACTGCTCTCTCCGGTGAAGCTCTGCCTCAGCAGGAGTCCTCCAGCTCTCCTTCTGACTCAGTGCCTCCTGTAGTTCTGACTCTTTCCTCAGTTTTATTGTCCGTTAGAGACTCAGATCAGGAACTCAGCGCAGCTCCGCTCCTCTCTCCTCCACTAAATGGCGCCGCTGGTAATGCGCAGTTTGACCAATCACAGCGCTCTTCATCAAACTGAACTACCGGAAAAGTAGCGGCTGAACCTCTAACGGCTCTCCGCTCCGCACAGAGAGTCAAGTCAAATTTATTTATGTAGCGCCTTTTACAACAGATGTTGTCACAAAGCAGCTTTACAGAGAATCCGGGTCCGCGCCCCCAGTGAGCAGGCCTCGGCGACAGTGGCAAACTCCCTCAACAGGAGGAAGAAACCTCGAGAGGAACCAGACTCAAAAGGGGAACCCATCCTCCTCTGGTCGACACCGGATAACAGCACAGAGGCAAAACACAGAGCACTACGGAGCTGAACACAGACTACTGAACACAATCAGAGCCCGGTTTGGGTGGAGAAACCAGAACTTCAGAACTTACTAAGCGCATTAAAGAGGAAGGAGGAGCAGGAAGGGCGCTGTGTGGCCTGGACTTCCGGGGGATACAGACCCCAATATATTTAACCAGCACTGAAACTTAATACACACACACACACACACACACACACACTCACACGCACACAGTACACACTCACACACACACACACACACACTCACACGCACACAGTACACACTCACACACACACACCATATTACACAGCACGACAGACACCACTGAAAGAGAGAGAGAGAGTGAGATGAAGATACAGACATATATATATATATATATATATATATATATATATATATATATATATATATATATATATATATATATATATGTGTGTGTGTGTGTGTGTATACACCGGTCAGGCATAACATTCTGACCACCTCCTTGTTTCTACACTCACTGTCCATTTTATCAGCTCCACTTACTATACTGTGCACTTTGTAGTTCTACAGTTACAGACTGTACAGATTTGTTAGCCCCCTTTTACCCTGTTCTTCAGTGGTCGGGACCCCCATCCCAGATAGCAGACAGTTCTGGGCCGATTCTAGCTTACATCCATGAGTGTTGGTTGAGTTCCGGATAGATATTAGGCATGTGGGCCACAACTGGGCCAGATGCTGGACAGCTGTGTAAGGTTTTGACTCATATTTACGTTTAAGGGCCAATTCTGGTGTGAATGTTGTGGCCCAACAATGTGGTTGATGCAAAAGGGCCACAGCACAATTAAGTTGCGGCAGAATCAGGCTCAGCTGATTTACACCTCAGTACTTTTGGCCCAAGTCTGGCATGTCATAAGTGGCCCACCGGGATAGCAGACCGTTCTGGGCCGATTCTGGCTTACATACGCAAGTGTTGGTTGACTTCAGGATGGATATTAGGCATGTGGGCCAGACTTGGGCCAGATGCTGAACAGCTGTGTATGGTTTTAACTCATATCTACTTTTAGGGGCCAATTCTGGCATAAACGTTGTGGCCCAACAGCGTGGATGAAGGAAGAGGGCCGCACCTTAATGCTGTGGCAGACCAATGCTCGCTGATTTGCGTCTCAGTACTTTTGGCCCAAGTCTGGCATTTCATAAGTGGCCCATTACTGAAGTTACAGAAAACAGATGACACTCGCTGTGAGGGTTAAAACCCTCATTGAACGAATTTTCCCAAGTTTATCATTTTCAAATGGACATGCCAGCAGCTGGGGCTGAAGAGAAGACAAATTCTCTTCAAGAAGACAAAGAACGAGAGGGTAAGTGATACACTTTAAAATCACATATACATACATTAACATGATTTGTGATGTGTCAGTTTAGTTCAGTGAGATTAGCTATTTTGAATTATTGTTCCAGTATGGAAAATAAAACGTTATAACTAAAGGTAACAATGCCATTTTGGCATAACACTGGAAAAGCACAGTCTAGCTCGATTAATGAAATGGCTGTCAGTTCAAGGTTATGTTACCCTTCGATGCTAATTCGTTATGTTAACTTATTCCTTTTAGCTAAATGTTCAAAGTAGTTAACTAACGTTAGCTTGTGGTTAGCGGGTTAGCTCGGAGTTAACGAGTTAACGAGTTAACCCAAGGTAAAGCGCTAGCTCCGAGCTAAAGTGCTAACCGCGTTAACCCAAGGTAAAGCACTAGCTCCGAGCTAAAGTGCTAACCATGAGCTAACGTTAGTTGAACTACTCTGAGCATTTAAAGGAATAGCAGGTGCTTTTCAAGTGTTATGCTATAATGGTGTAGCGCGTTAGTTCGCGGTTAGCGCGTTGGCAGCAGTGTTAAGTCCTCTTATGTGCACACATCACCCTTCTGTGTAAGTCAGGAGAACCAGAAGAAAACAGTGTAAAACAGGTGCTGTGGTTGTTCACCTGAGGAGATATTTCCTAGTTCATATGAAGGTTCACTGTCAGGAGTGCTTTACATTAGTTAGACCTGTAAGTAGCGTATTTTTGATTATGGGTTTCTTAATGTTTGTTAGAACAAAACCTTTCTTGTTGATCACAGATCTTGCCGTTGTGGAGTTTTGGCCTCATTATTTAGTTTCTAAGGAAAACCCATCTATTCCAGACCAGCTGTTATTGGAGCTCTGTGACTGCTTACAGTGGAACCACTTCCAAAGTGACAGAGCTCATTCAGTCTGCAGAGGGGACTGTTGGAAATGCTGATTGTGGTGTTGCTCCAGACTTTCAAGTAAAGGGATTTGTTGTACAGTGTAACACAAAACTGTGTTATCTGGAAATCCGTTAAAGAAGTAACTGATAGCTGAATGCTTTTCCTCTTTCCTCAGGCACCAGGAAGTGGACGGGTTTTGACCGATGTAGAATTTCAGGAATGTTTATAAATGGTAAGTTTTTACTTTAGAACAAGCATTTTGAAAACTTTTATTATTATTATTATTATTATTATTATTAAGGTCACTGAATTATTTATTATATATTACTGTAGGCTATGTAATTAACAAAAAACATACACTGCTTGTTTTATGTTGTGTATTCAGTAGCCGTTGTATGAAGTTTATCTACAACAGACCAGAACACTTCTGTTTTGTGTGTTTGCTTTTGGACATTAATATTTTTTCTACTTTGAAAATGTTTATAATTGTGACACATAATAAACAATCTGAATACATTCTAAATGTTTTTGGTTTTTGTTTTGTTTAAGGGATTCTGCACTGGTGAAAATGAATGTATGCAAAACAAAGCAAAATGATCATAATATACCCACGAAAGCTCATGATGGAACCCACCTCTTTCTGAAGTGGGATCCAATGCAAATCCCAGAAAGGGCCCACGTTTAACATAACATAGAATAAAATCATTCATTTAAAATCATTAGCGATACAGCAGATTATCCAGTTTTGTATTTGTTTACTAAAAAAACTTCAGTAATTATTGCATACAGAATCAGAAAAAGTAGCTGTTGATCAAGTTAAATTGCAAAACGGAGTGACATACACAGCTGGCTTGATCTCAGGAATGTATGTATTTTATAAAGACATACTGAATGGGTTGACACCTGTGTTTTAGGGACATACACAACTGTTTTTATTCCACAGACTCCTTAAGAATAATTTTTCAGACACTTTTGTCATCTCTGATATACGTTCTCAACCCACTTGAACAGTGCTCCAAGGAAGATGTCAGATTTAGCCTCTATTTCAGTGGCCTCTCCACTTGGCTCAAGAATTTTTCATCCGCCAAGGTTTAAAATTACTGCAGAAATATTGTGAGAAATGTATTTATGAATGTGGAAAACATTATACGCTTTGACAAAAGGCAGATGGTCTGTGGAACGACCAGCAGTATATGTCCTTGAAGATGTACACACAAAGACTGCAGATAATGACCTGTCACAAAGGTGAAGCTTTGTTTTTACTTATTTAACCAAATCAACATGGAGTTTTCATTCTGAAATGGCTTCTGTCAACACTTATCGATTATTAGGAAGAAATATTACTAATATTTTGCATGTTCTGCAATAAATGAGTGTGGCATCCTGCAGGGCCACTTCTGGGCCAGGGACCAAGGTGGGTAGTCAGCCGTAACTGTGTGCCATATATGAGCCAGATCTGGCCCACACCTTTTAAATATGGTCACTTTACAGTGTGTGGGCCAGATCTGGACCACAGCCATTAAACTTGCACACATTACAGTATATGGGCCAGAGCTGGGCCTGAACCCTTGGTTCTACTCACTTTACAGTATGTGGGCCAGATCTAGGCCACATCTGTTAGTTCTACTCACTTTACAGTATGTGGGCCAGAGCTGGGCCACATCTGTTAGTTCTACTCACTTTACAGTATGTGGGCCAGAGCTGGGCCACATCTGTTAGTTCTATTCACTTCACAGTATGTGGGCCAGAGCTGGGCCACATCTGTTAGTTCTATTCACTTCACAGTATGTGGGCCAGAGCTGGGCCACATCTGTTAGTTCTATTCACTTCACAGTATGTGGGCCAGAGCTGGGCCACATCTGTTAGTTCTATTCACTTTACAGTATATGGGCCAGATCTAGGCCACATCTGTTAGTTCTATTCACTTTACAGTATGTGGGCCAGATCTGGGCCACATCTGTTAGTTCTATTCACTTTACAGTATATGGGCCAGATCTGGGCCACATCTGTTAGTTCTATTCACTTTACAGTATGTGGGCCAGAGCTGGGCAACATCTGTTAGTTCTATTCACTTTACAGTATATGGGCCAGATCTGGGCCGGGGACCGAGCCAGAACTGGGCCAGAATTAAACCAAGCATGTGGCCCGGATAAATTTTGCTATAGGTACTATTTGGGTGGTGGGTCATTCTCAGCACTGCAGTAACACTGATAAGGTGGTGGTGTGTTATGAACAATGACCGTAGACATATATATATAAATGGAGAGAGAAAGAAGAGAGTGCGTGAGAGGAAGGGAGAGGGGGTTGGAGAGAGAGAGACTGAGAGAGAAGAGAGAGTGCGTGAGAGGAAGGGAGAGGGGGTTAGAGAGAGAGAGATGGAGAGAGAAGAGAGAGTGTGTGAGAGGAAGGGAGAGGGGGGTTAGAGAGAGAGAGATGGAGAGAGAAGAGAGAGTGCGTGAGAGGAAGGGAGAGG